TTTTTACAATGTTATAAACCAATGTTACTGCAATAAACAAAAAATTAAAAAAAATAAAAAATAAAAAATAAATATAGTCAGCCTGTATTAACTAAAAAATATTAACCTATACGAAGTTCTATTTTTGGACTCAAAATTTTATTTTATATTTTATTCAATATGTATTATAAACTATAATTTATACAATATCACATATCATAGAAGAAAACAAGATAATGCTTTAGAGGTTTTCAGATTTGCCTCTTTCTTTTTAGGACAAGTTATTGAGTTTGCAAAGTAATTTTTTAGACAATTAAAGTAGCCCCCTATTCACTATAACCCATCAGTGACAAAATATATTACATGGCAATAAAATTTCAGTGTTGCATTTGGTAATCTATCACTATATGGTCACAGGAGCCCTCTCTTTCCTGCGAGCATTAGTCCAAGGATGATTTTGATGTTTGAAATCTAGTCCTGCTGACGAGAATCTAACATTCTCTAATTTTACATTTTCTGAGTCCCCAGTCCCCTCCTTATTTGATGAAAAAGGCAGATAAACAAATACCCAAACCAGCTGGTCTGGCTGCTCTGGATTCATTCATTTGTGCAATCAACAAATATTTATTGAGCACCTTTCATGTCAGCAACTAGGAAGGGCATATGACCATTTATTTGTTCTCAAGGTCCCAGAGGAGATCCGGGCAGCACTGGGAATCCTGGAGAACCAGGACCACATGGTGCGCCAGGAAGCATAGGGAACATGGGGGTACCAGGTAATGCATAAAGTCCTGTTATGAGCCCACAAGCTCACCACGGGTCCCAATTCTAGATTTTCTGTGTTGTTTGTTGTTTTGGTTTTCCACTTGGTAGAAAGTTAGTATAAAACAACTAGATTTACTTTTAGACAAATGTACTGTGCACAACTAGAACACAAGTGAGAACATAAATATTTACTTTGTGTAAAAATCATCCATTATGACTACCTGATGTGTCGGGGATTCTGAGAAACCAACTTCTTAGGAGAAAGGTGGTTTGTGCAAAGGTCAGAAGTAGAACACTTCAAGATCCCCCATGTTCACCTATTTTACCTGATTTCTTTCCTAATTTCAGGTTCTAAAGGAATGAGGGGAACTTTGGGACTCCCAGGTCTACCTGGAAGACCAGGCCTCCCAGGTATTCATGGTCTCCCAGGAGACAAGGGAGAGCCAGGTTATTCAGAAGGTACAAGGCCAGGACCACCAGGACCAAAGGTATATATAGGCCACTGAAGTATTTACATTTTGGTGGTGGAGTGAGTCCCTGTAAATATCAGCAAATATCCAGATTCAATGTGGGCACAGAAAATTGACACTATTACTGTACTTTCAGGCAGTTATTTGGGTTTCGTTTAATGCTATCTCCACCACTGAAGATGCCTATCACACAGCTGTCAACTTCTGAGTTTATTCCCCCCAGTTTCAACCCCCAAGGAATTTCTCATAACTGTCTCTGCAATTTAAGTGCTCCCAGAAGGAGGCAGTGATCACAGGCCTACACAATCTGACAGGGCACGGTTTATTTTTCTTGTGATACAAAGTGGCCAGTCTCTGCTATGGACTCACCTCACACAGACTTATAAAATTAAATTTCTGGGCCAGCCTGGTGGCATAGTGGTTAAGTTGGTGTGCTCTGCTTTGGTGGCCTGGGATTCATGGGTTCGGATCCTGGGGGTGGACCTACATACCACTCGTAAAGCCATGCTGTGGCAGCATCCCACATACAAAAAGTAGAGGAAGATGGGCACAGATATTAGCTCAAGGACTATCTTTCTCAACCAACAAGAGAAAGATTGGCAACAGGTGTTAGCTCAGGGACAATCTTCCTCGCAAAAAAAAAAATTAAAAATAAATAAATAAATTTCCAAACCTTGTAATCAAAACCACTAGTCTTACTAAAACATAATAAAAGAGGTAAAATGAAATAACTTTAGAGCATCATTAAAAAGCAAACAAAATCCTCAGATACGTACATTTATCTTTCTTAACTGTTTTAGAACTTTAAGTATTTTCAGTCCATTACGATTTTTCATCTTGTTGCAATGTTCTCAGTGCTCGTGCTCTGTCAACTGGAGGTTGGATGTGAAAGCCCTCACTAGTGTGTTGGACCAACCAACAACCAAATGTCTCCTTGGGGCTCAGTTGTTTGTTTAGGTTTATTTTCTTCCAACCTTTCTGTGCATAGCAGTTACACTAAGAGCCAGAGCTAGATCACTAGAGAATAATTAATAGAAATTCCCATAAATGAGAGGTTTTAACATGGGATTCCATGGTCCCCTTGGGGAGTCTCTTGGATCCAAAGAAGCCCACTAATACCCTGAAATTGAATGCAAAATGTTTGAATGCAAATTTTTGTAGGAGAAAGTCTGTATTTTTCATCAGACTTTCAAAGTATATGACTCCAAAAAATATAAAAATTGTTACTCAGGGGACTTTCTCCCTGACTCTTTTTGGGTTTTTTTTTTTTTGGTGAGGAAGTTTCGCCCTGAGCTAACATCCGTTGCCAATCTTCCTCTTTTTTTTTTTTTTTTCACTTGAGGAAGATTTGTCTTGAGCTAACATCTGTGCCAATCTTCCTCTATTTTGTATGTGGGAGGCCTCCACAGCATGGCTGATGAGTGGTGCATAGGTCCACACCCGGGATCCGAACGGGCAAACTCAGGCTGCCAAAGCGGAGTGTGCAGAACTTGAATCACGTGGCCATGGGGCCGGCCCCTCCCTGACTCTCTTTTGAGCCAATAAAATACCACCTTTCCTAAAGATTTCCACCCATCATGTAGTCCATGATTTTTGTGACAACAAAAAGAAAATTATTAGAAGCCACACAGACCCAAGATAGTAACCCTTTATTACTTGCAACACAAACAAATATCCTCTGCCCTTTGTTTTTAGATTAGGTCCTTGGAAAATCAGGGAGAGACTTGTTCCACTGAGATATTTTTTCAATGAGGAATCGTATTTGACTTAATTCACATTCAGTTAATTAATAGTTTCATTTAGATTTAGGGTTTTCACAGGTAGCCACAGAAGAAATTTTTAGAACTGTGCATTGAACACAAAATGAGCTAGTTTTATCATGCTGGCAAATCATAGTAACAGTAGTATATTTTAATGAGCTACTATAGAGATTTTGTAAGTCACTATCAAATCCTTATGTGCTGGCTTATCATAAAACCGAAGTACAGATTTAATGAATATTAAATCATTGAAAATTTTATTTTACATGTGGTTGACATACATTTATCTGTATGCATAGTATTTGTAGGACACATATGCATTTGGTCTATTTCTTTCTTACTCCTGAGTTAATTGTCACAATTTGGAATTACACATTTGTGTGATTATTTAATATCTATCTCCCACTGGTCTCTAAAGTTCCAGGAAGGCAGGGACTGTGTATATCACATATCTGTACATGGTTACCATTATATTCCTGGTGAGAGCCGGCTTCACGGGCATGCAACCCGTGTGGACACAGAGGTCCACTGCTAAGAATGACTTCATGCTTGATTTCATGCTCTGCTGTTGCTGTCTTGGATCACTTTAAAATTTTTTAAAAAGGGAGCTGCATTTTCATTTTGCACTGGGCCCTACAAATCATGTGGCCATCCTGTTCCCAGCACCTATCACAGTGCTGGTACATAGCAGACACCTACTAGGAATTGCTAAGTAAGTAAGTAAATAGATAAATGCAAACAAACATGGTTTATACTTAATTCTGATCACATATCCCGCTTATATGAGAATTTTAAAGGTGTTTGACTGAATTTAAGGGAGATCTAGGATTGCCAGGTGACGTGGGAAAGAAAGGAGAAAGAGGGCTACCTGGCACACCTGGACATTTGGGGCCTGCTGGACCTGACGGAGTCCCTGGACTTCCCGGAATTCCTGGCCAGCCAGGTGAGCGTTGGCTTTACCCAGCTGATTTCTTCTGAGGCCTCGCTCCTTGGCTTGTAGATGGCTGCCTTCTCACTGTGTCTACCCTCTGTGCATGTGTGTGTCCAAATTTCCTCTTCTTATAAAGATGCCAGTCATATTGGATTAGAGCCCACCCTAGTGATCTCATTTTAAGTTACTTGCTTCTTTAAAGACCCTATCTCCAAATACAGTGATATTCTGAGGTACTGGAGTTAGGACTTCAACATTTGAATTTGGGGGCAACACAATTCAACTCACAACACTGTTGTTCAGAATTTTTTTTCTGGCATGTTTCTGGGTTAAACATTGCTTTCTTCCTTATTTGCTTATAATTTGGGTCTAAGTTTTTGTTTTGTTTTAAGAACAACTGCTAAGCTACTGGGTTGCAGTCTTACTTAAAGATAATATTTAAACTATCCTTTCAAACACCGAAAGGTTCAATGGATTTTCTGTTAACTCCCAAATAAAGCAATAAGTCAGACATTGAGCTGTCCACGTGGTTGGTATACGCACAGCTTTGAAAATGATTCGACACATCTCAGCTGTGCTTCTCTGGGGAAAAAGAAGCCAGGACAGAATCCTGAGGTTATGTAGCAAGAGTGCTTCCTGAAGCCAGCGTGAGCACAGTTGACTGTAAGAACTGACCATTTCAGCCGTTGCTGTAATCATCTATCTTTTGGTGTTCTTTATTCCTTCCCTTCTCTCTCCATTTATAGGAAAGCGGGGTCCTGATGGTGATTTGGGTTTTAAAGGAATCAAAGGCTTCCCTGGCTCTCCAGGAATAAAAGGCCCTCCAGGTTCCATTTCTGTACTTTGTCTATTTCCCTTCTATGAGAGAGGCACATTTCTCCGAGGTTGGAGTCTGTGTATACCTACGTCTCTGACCCACAACTCCTCCTTAGAATGTAGCTCCTAGTTACTCAGTCCCCAGACAAAAATGCAGAAAAGCGAAGTTAGGTGTTTATACCTAACTCAAAGATCTGCTGATCTACACATTCCAGAGTAACAATCCTGGTGATAGTATTAATCAGTTCATAGTTTTCACTGTGAACTTACCTTCACATAGCTATGGTTCTGAAAAATGAACACCTTTAACAGAATTCCACACATCTGGTGTTCATATTAGGCCACTGATAGGAAGTTAGTCCTCTCTTTGAATGGCATTTTTTTTTCAGGCCCTCCAGGATTCCCAGGAAATCCTGGACCAATGGGTGTGAGAGGTGACCAAGGACGTGATGGAATTCCTGGTCCAGCAGGAGAAAAGGGAGAAACGGGTATAAGTTACTCATTATCTTGGCCCCACTAGTTTTATTTTACATAGAAAAATTAGTCTGTTGTAGTCCGTCACTGCTCTAGAGATTCTTTGATAGAACTGATGATCTTTAATATGTTCTGGGTGTGTGATAGTTAAAAATCCTTCTGTTACCAAAGTGAAATTGACCAAGCAAAATAAATTATATAAATGTATATAATGAAATTAATCACATATAAAATATTAATATGCCAAAATTATCTCTTTCAGGTTTGCTGGGGGCACTTCCAGGCCCAAGAGGGAACCCTGGTGCTCAAGGTGAGCAATTCTTCCTCCCGGACCCTAGTGATATACATTTTCAAGGACAAAATTTAATTTAATATTCCTGACATACAAAATAAACAACATATTGAATTAAAGAAGTCCAGTGGTAATATAGGATGTTTATATTCTTAGTATTCAAGTAAAAATGCTTAATTATCACTATCATAACAAAGTGATATGTGATCCAATTTTGGAATTTCCGTCTATGCAAGTCTTTAAAAATAAGACTTCTTATATATTCCTTTGTTGTTGTTAGTATGGTTTAAATGTACCACCTCTTAAAACGATGGAGGCAGGATTGATGGCTTCTCAATAAGCATCCCTCCCTGCTATTCTGAGATGCAGTAATAACACAAATCCTTTGCCACCTTGTTATCTTCATGGGTTTGATTCCAACCCTTAGAGCCAGCTTGTGGTTCATGCTACTGTTTATTAAGGGCTACCCAGTAACTCTCTCAACACCTCAGATATGGCAATTTACTGAACATGTCTTTCAGAGTATACACAGTTTTTGGTTGACAAACAAGTCTGGATTTCCCATGTCAGTGTTTTATAAGATAAGCAGCTTCTTTTAACTTTTGCCATTTTGTAGAGAAACATGCCAGAAGAAATATTAGATTGTTTGCACCTTTTATTGACCCTTCTCAAGCCGTGGGTTCTGTGGATAGAAGTATTTTATTAGTCAAGGGGTCTAAACCCAATGAAGGCCTCTGGTTGTTGATGTTCACAAGAACCAACAGGAGTGGCCTGATGCTACCGAGAAACTCAGAGTGGCAGGAACTGCCTCTTGACCTTCCAGCTCGGCTGTGAAAGCAGACAAGAGCTGTTCTTTTCCCTTTGTTTCTGGATGGTATGATAGTCCTTTTGGTTGAGTTCAATGTCCCCACATCTCCCAGACCCTTCCCTCCCCCGTGAGGATAAAGGCTTTCTCAGTCTACTTCACAGTATAGTTGTAGAATTATGGTCAAAGAGAGAGTTTCTATTCATTTTCCCAGGCTAAGCTCACAGTTTAACCGTTTGGAATGAGATAATTTTAGCATTTAACTGGAAATAAAATTTGATATAAAATGATCATACCTTAAGTTAAAAAACCTTAAAAAATAACAAATAGCATAATTATGTAAGTGAATGATTATGCACCTCAATCCCTCTAGGATAACTAAATATGGAGAAGAGTTCAATGAGACTTGGAAGGTATGAATCCTTTTAATTAGTTTTAATTCTCCCAAATCCTAAAAAGAAATCATATCATAAAACAAGGAAGCATCATCATGGACATGGAATATAAAACCCAAGACAGCATCTTGGTGCCTCAGACCATTGCCAGACCCTGTTGTACAAATACAGCATTTCAGAGCTTCAAGTGAGCTGAAATCATCTAAATACTTTCTTTTAAAAGCATAAATTACAGGCATAAAGAAGCTAAAGAACATGAGAGACAAAGGGCTAGATTTTCAATGTTCATCAATTTTATTTTCATCATTGCTCTAAGTCTTCACCACATAATAAATTCCCTAGCCCTTTCCCTTTGCCACCAGCCTCACCCTCACTTTTCCTTCTTCTTCCTCTCATCTGTCTTCTATTTTCTTGCCATTTACTACTTTTAGAATAACAGAGAGATGGGAGAGATGATTTTCAATACATACAACATTTTCCATTTATAAATGTCAAAGCACAATTTCTTGAAGGTTCTCTGAGATGAAAAATATTAGTATTCAGTTGTGACCTTTTAGGGGTCTTCTTTAGTAAATTCATACCTCCTGCCACATTCGTCCTTTCCAGACTAGGATTTGTGTTACCGGGGAGAAGTAACCAGAGGACAGAATAGGGATTGCAACTTTGTTGTTCCTTTTTCTGGGTTTAGCTGAGCAACACACAAATCAGTGCTGAGAAGTTTAGCTTTTTACACTCTATCAAATTATCAGTGATTAAATAATGTCTTAAAGTTTATCAGATAATAATAATTGTGGCTTATATTTACAGAACACTTTAGAGCTCACACTAGGCTTTCCCGTCTCTATGTTATCTCACTGGATCTTTAAAGAACTGAGCTAGGTCAGGCATTACCTTCATTTTTTAAATAAGATAACTGAGACTTGTAACAGTGAAGCGACTTTGCCAAGATCAAACGACTAGTGGGAGGCAGAATTGAGACTCAGTTCTTGTAGACCTATATTTCATTTACAACCACTTTTCAAAAAATATATTGTGAATCTTAACATCTTTAAGCAAAGTGTCTACATTATTAGAGATAATCACAAACTATATCTCCAAGCATAGGGGCATTACAGAAACTTATCAAACCTTTTTCTTTGCAGGAGCCAAAGGAGACAGGGGAGCCTCAGGCTTGCCCGGCCTCCCCGGCAGGAAAGGGACAGTGGGAGATGTTGGGCCACAAGGTCCCATTGGCATGGCAGGACCCCCAGGGCCACCAGGTTTTCCTGGTGCAATCATCCCTGGCCAAAAGGGAAATCAAGGTCCACCGGGCTCCAGAGGAAACCCAGGTAGAGGGTCTACTTTTAAATAAGAAAAAAGTCTGCAAATAACGTCTGACATCAGAAGCCTTCCACCTTCCCCTTGTGTGACCTTGTTGCTTCTTTTTTTCCTCTGGTCTTCTCTATCCTCCCATACCCACCCATTCTCACATACAGCATGGTAAAGCTGTTGGTGTTGTTGAGGCAGAGGGGCCTGTTTGAAAAATTAGTAAATACCAAATCAATAAGCCTAAAAGAGGGAGATGCATCCATTCACCAATATTTATTGAGCTCCTACTATAAGTCAGGTACTGGGTTAGGCACAGACCCTGCTCTGATAGACCTTCATCAGGGAAAAACAGTTCCTGCCTTGTGCCTGGGGCTTCACTGGCATTATCTCATTCTGCCTTTACCACAATCCCATCACACCCCACAAGGGAAAGAATGTTTGGGGTAAGGATAAGGTGCAGGGTTTGTACTTCACTCTAAAGAATCAATGACAGAAACTGCCAAGCTCCCTGACTGGCAATACTGACACGTTCTTTGTGAATTCAGGTGAGCCTGGTCCCCCCGGACCTCCAGGGAGTCACGTAGAAGGCATAAAAGGAGACAAGGGATTTATAGGCAAGCCTGGCCCAAGAGGTCCACCTGGAACTGTAGGAGACATGGGGCCACCAGGTCATCCGGTAAGTGTGGAAAATTATTTTGACTTCTTACATTCTTCTAAGTCGATTGCCAGGATCCGATGTACCCAGAGGCAACAAAAGTCTCCCATTTGTGATGCTTCTGTGCAGTGCACCCAAGGGAAGACAGAGTCCAGAAGGTTCAAAGAATCGAAGAATCTTATGAGTTGGACAGATTTGACCTCTAAAAGTTTGGTCTATATGGGACCCCTCTCTATGTGATTCCTGACCTTTTCTTGTTTAGACTCTGAACAATTCCAGTGATGGAATCTTCAAAAAAACACCTCAGAGTTTGCAATCACTCTAGACGACAGCATCATTTTTCCCTATGAATACGCTTTTGAAGTCATCTGTGCTATCCCCTAAATGTCTATTTATTTTCACCCCAGGACATGCCCCAATGTTTGTAAATAGCTGCCATTTCCTTCCGAGCATTTCTTCCTTTACTAATTACTTGTTTTTTTCAAATTCAATTTAACCTTCATCAATCCTGCCTCTATTCTGAATATATCCTAGTTTGTTAATATCCCCCTTAAAAAGCAGCCCCTGGTATGAACACCCTCCAGGAGTCAGAACTCAGTACTCCATGGAGTGGCTAAGGGAAGGAAGAGTCTCACTGTTCTGAACATCCCTGTTCTATAATCTAACCCAAATTCCACTTGGCCAGTTTGGCTGCCACGTCACCACATTGTCATCGCACATTGAGTTTATGGTCAACGAAAGCCCATGTGCCTTTTCCTCATGAACTGCTTTTAGGTTTTCTCCATTATTTTTTGTCTTGTCTATTTATTTGTGACTTAAGTATAGAACTTTCACATTTATCTTTCTTAGATGTCATCTGGTTCTTTTAGGTTCATGCTCCCAGCCTATTAAGATCTCGTTTCACAGTCTCTTACTCAACACCATGGCCATCTCTCCTAGCTTTCTCTTAGCAGCATATATGAAAGGCCTGATTCCTCTGTTACATCAAATTCTTGGAGACAGATGAGGAAATCAGAGTTATGTCATAGATGTTCTGCGTTTTCATCAATGATGGGTAATGAGGTTCTTTGGCATGGCTCATTGACAGAAATCATGTTAAGCTTTCATTAGCTCTCTTGGTATTTGGTTTCCAGAATCTACCTTTTTAAAACTTTTTTTTTTTTTAATAAATGAGATATTTGCCCATCTCCAGTCTTAGGTATCTCTCACGTTCTCCATGATTCTTTGAAAGTGGCAAACACTGATCCTATGATCACACTGAAAGTCCTTCCAAGGACCTGGGATGGGGAAAGCGTGGTTTGGAAATGTGATCTCTCTTAAATACTCAGGTGTTTCCAAGGTCAATTTAAGCTTCTACATTTGCGATTGAAAGATAATTCTTCTTGAAGGATGTCTAAACTGGCTCGGTGCCCTTAACAGCTCTCTCCTTGCATGGAACAGCTCCCTCCCCACCCAAGGGCTGGGCCTGGCACTAGGCCTCCTCTCTGGTTACCTGAGAGAAGGCCAGGTCTCAGAAGCCTGAGAGTCCTTGATCAAGTGCTTCTGTTTTCTCTCCCTCCTTTTTAAACCTCATACCACCTTATCCAAGCAATAGGACTGTTCCTTCTTTGGTCTTCTTGCTCCAAAGACAGCTGGCTCAAAGCCCAGTTTTGTTATTCTGTAGCATTTTTCATGACCTTCAGTTCATTGTTTTCAAGTAATAGCATTCTGTCTCAATTCATATGGACAGTATAAGAGTATATTTAATATACATTCTGACATATAGCTCTTTTCAGGAGTCCTGCTCCCTCCCCTCTCCTCCTACGGCCTTGCTTGAGCATCTCATGGCTACAAGAGCAATTAGTGTCAGCCTCATAAGGAGGGAGCATCTCCTCCTGGTAAAATCATTGCATCCTTGTCAAAGGTGCCTGTAGAAACTCCCCTGACAACCCCTTCATGCTCCCATCCCTGGACCCTTTACTTCTGCCACCCTGACCAGGAGTAATTTATAACTTTGCCAGCTTAGTTAGAATGTTGGTGGGTGCTACAACTCTTGTCTTTGCAATAATTACAAATACAAAATACAATTTTCTTTCTGGCAGTCTGGTGCCTGCTCTTGCTGAAAGATCTCCAAATACTCTGTATCCATTTAGGATACAGAATATCCAATTGTATCCAATACTCACACAACATACATTCATATCAGAAGGTATGTTTGCTCCTGGGCTTAAGGGTAGTTTTTACTTCTTTTTATTGAAAATAATAGTCCTAACGAGAGGTCTAGGTGGCAGAGGAATTATGGGAGGTGAAACACAGGATTGAAAGGTAAAAGTGACGTCTGTCAGCTTCAGCTCATTCTGACGCAACATAATATTATATCCTATTTTAAAAAAAAAAAATACCTGCTGTGATTATTGTGATTTTTAAAGTTCATCTGTGGTTCTGCTCTCTTTTATTGGAAAAATAGGGACCACCAGGTACCCCAGGTCAGCCAGGGCTCCAAGGTGATCCTGGATTCCGTGGATTTCCAGGCATGAAAGGTACTGTTTTTGTGCACTGCTCTTTGGATGCAACTTCAATAACGGTGGTTCGTAATTTAGGGCACACAAGTGTTTACTGAACTCCTAAAGTCACCACAGGCAGTGGGGTTAATACGAGCAGGACCTCGGTATGAGTGAAGAAGGAAGACTCTACCAGCACCCAACCCCAGGGGGCTTAAAAGTCAAAACCGTCCCTAAGGATGGAGATTATAGAAAAATTAAAACCAGAAACAGTTTAAAGTGGTTACCTTCAGGATGTTGATGTGTGTTGGGTTGGGGAATGGGGAATGACATCAATATCAACAGTATTGTTTTGCACTGTTAATTTTACTATGTACACATTACTTTTATCATTTTAAAAAGCTGGAAAATCTACAAGAATATTCACTAAAATGTTAGTTGGGGAGGGTAAGTATATTTTTATATGCAGATTTAAGTATTGCTTTTCTTTATGGGGCACAAGTATTATATTTTAAATCAGAGAAAAACATAATTTTGGAGTTTTTAAGTTTAAAATATTCACACATAAATTTAAATTTCAGGTTTCAGAAAATACTTCTCAAGTCTTCCATAAGTGCACAAAGACCTTAAATAAAGTTTTGAATATTGGATTCGTTGTCTTAGCTGGTTAAACTCTCTGGTATTGTTTTTGTATGGCAGAGAACCTATTATCATAGACTATAGAGATGGTAAATAATAAGTGTATTCAAAGTGACCAAAGTCACATTTTCATGAAGGAAAACCTTTCCAGGTCCAAGGGAGGACAAGATGGTGTTGAAAGTGGTCCTTTTCAATGTTTTCAACACTGACACGTCAGGGAGCAAATTAGATAAGAATAACTCAAAGCAAGTGATTCTGAGGAGTCCCACTAGACATTGGATGTGTGAATACTGGCAGGCAGCCTGGGAAAAATGTGTAGCACCTGTCACTCCCTTAAGTCTCAGAATAGAAATATCTAAGACTTGAAAAATTATATAAAAGCATCACTAAAGAAAGAAACATTCTGGTGAAATATTTAGAGGTATGTATTTAGAAGGGAGATTTGTAAAATCAGTTCTTTTGAAATATGTTCTATGAAACACATTCAGTTACTCTCTTAGGTTTCAGAATAAGACCATCCTTTCGCTGGCCTTACTGATGAATTTGACTTCTTTATTTGGAAATTTTTAATCCTCAAATATTTAGGCTTCTTCTGGTGTATATAAGTAAATATTAACACCTTCCTCAAGTTCTGATATCAAGCGGATAATTTATAGTGCAGTTGCCAGTTAACTTTTGGTACTATAACTGTTTTATTGTGTTTCTTCTATTAATATCATATTTAGGATTAAAGTCTTTCTAAGTAATCAGATGTAATGTCTACATTATTTCAAGATTCTTTAAAAGAGTATTTCTCCAAATCAGCGGTTCTTGGTAAACTTTAGTCATGTCAAAGACGGTCTGGGAGAGAAACTTTACCACTTTGTTAGTTTACATCAAAGCAGATATTGTAGCTGTGCTCGTGAGAATTCCTAACATAACTAACTTTCGGCTATTAGCAAAGCTAGAGCAATAAACTGAAAAAGTAGATAACTATGACAACCAAGCAATATAATTCACCAGGAGGTGCTAAAATAGATTTTAATGTCACTTTGTATTTTACCTTAAATATGAAATTGAATTGGTTTCTGAACTTAAAAAGTGAGTTCTTAGGAACTCTTCCCCTTCAGTGCTAAAATACAAGTTCTTCATGCCTACTTCGAGAATATATTTCTCTACAGACATTAAACATGACTGACTGGGTCCAAGTGAAATGCCAAAACCCACGTGACTATAATTAAGTTGCAGCCTTTGTCACAAAGCTCATAACTTCCAGTCATAACTTCCAGTATCTATATCCTCAGAGTTGATCATCAACCTGAAGAGCTATGAAATGCATTGTTCTAACGGGATTCACACTGTTTTTTTTTTTTTTGGTTGTTTGTTTGTTTTTAAGGAGAGAAGGGTAATCCAGGATTTGTGGGATCAATTGGGCCACCAGGGCGAATTGGGCCAAAAGGACTACCTGGTAAATATTATTTCCCTAGTATTGCTCTCCATGAAGAAAGCATAACTCATCAGTGAAGCCATCATCTTTTTCTGTTCATGTCAACAGGTGTACGTGGAGACCCTGGCACAGTTGAGATCATCTCCCTTCCAGGAAGCCCAGGGCCACCAGGCCCAGCTGGAGAACCAGGGATGCCAGGAGAACCTGGGCCACTGGGGCCACCGGGAAAGCCAGGTGTGGGACTGGCAGCATTGACTTTGAGCACGAGGAAGTGGTTGAACCAAAATACCTGCAAATTGCTTTGGAATACACTTTCACGATACAACTTCACGAAAAATGTTAAACATTATAGTATTTTTTACGATCAGTTTTAGGATTGAGCTCATTTTACTCTCGACCAGCATATAAAAGACCTTGGAATCTATTGAATCTAATGAAAACTGTTGTGCATAGTATAAACTGGAGCAAATACACTTTAGGGCACTTATTTTTTTTTTATAAGGTAAGAGTATTATGTCTATCTTCTCTGACAACGGTCAGTCTTAGAGCTCTATTTCTAAATGATTGCCTGAATAAACCTTAGTTCTATGTATTTACACTTTTCTAACACTTTGTACAGCACTTGAAAGAGTAGTAAATGCAAATGTATGCTTACTATTATGAAATATTTTCAAAATATGTGTATGGAAATTGAACTAACTCCTTTATATAGGCTTAGCATACTGTAATAGGATTCTGAATGGAATTATGTTCTAAGTTTGCCTGAATCATCTGGGAGATGAGATATTACTTAGTACTTTGATCAATACAAAGACACAGCAAATTCTGGCACAGCATAAATCAAAGTGGCAGCACAGTTTTAAACTGCTGTATTTCATATACTCCTAGTTCATTTTTGAGGTCTTTTTTTTTTTCCTGGGAAGTAGGGTGTAACAAGTTGATGACCAACTGTCCCAGTTTGCCCAAGGCTGAGGGTCTGTTCAGTTTGCAGGACTTCCACTGCTGAAACTGCACAAGTCCCTGGTAAACTGGGATGGTTGGTCACCCTACTTTTTATCCTATATGAACCATTCAATACAATGTTGGTTATTTGCCTAGGACCCTGTGGGCCAAGAGGTAAACCAGGCAAGGATGGAAAACCAGGAACGCCTGGGCCAACTGGAGAAAAAGGCGACAAAGGTGGTAAAGGAGAACAAGGTAAACAGCTGGCTTGTCTCCTTCACAGGAGTGCTGTTTCAATGTGCAGAGAAGTCTTGTTTGAGTATGTGACTGTAAGAGTAAGCTTGGTCTTTCAGTTCGTGTTGATCAGATTAGACTAAAAGCCAGGGGCAAAATGTTTGTTTAGAAGAAGATAAAAAATCAAGAGTTACTGGAATACACCATTCTTCCTATCTCTTAACTGGGCAGATGTACTCCGGACTTAGCCTGAGGACAAATAGACCTAATGAAGCACTAATTCTATTTTCAGAAAGGCCAATACTGTTTTTAATTATTTATAGGAGTAATTAGTTAATAACATCTACTTATAGGAATGGCGCATAAGTACATAGTTAGAAAAATCTTATCTTGATATGAATAGAAGAGCAACTTAGTACCCTTACTTAGGAAAGCCATCTTTTAACTATGTCATTCTTGAATACAACTCAACAACTCCTGTGTATCCTGAAAAAGGGCCTCTAATATTTTAGTCTGAACATAAGCTATATGTGTCAATTTGATACACCTGGATCAAAATCTACCTTATGCAAAAGTTTCAAAAGCACCTGCTAGAAAAAACCTAGATGTCCAAGTCTTATTTTTCAGTTTTGCTGACTTTGTGAAAGTAAGAAAAACTTCTAAATGTGATTTCCCAATTTATTGACATATGACTAAATCTACTCTAATAAAACTGTAAAAACTAGAGATTTAAATCTTTAAAAATTCCAATATAATGTTAATATATTAATTATAATATTAATTGCATGATCACTCGTGATTTAGTATAGTCACGAGTGTACTTTAGAGCACTATTAATCACTGAACTTTCCCTAAAATGATTAAAAACAAAACTCTTATTAATAATTCTATTAATTTAAAAACTTGACTGACCAAGGCTGGGTTTCAGAATGGGGCCTCAGCAAGAGCCAGGGGGCTACAATACAAATGGCATTGAGAATTATGAGCAAGTAGACAGAATTAGTCTTAATGCTATAAAGGCCTCATAAGAATGATAAAGGGATCTAAGAGTCAAACAGCATTGGTATACACTGAGAGCCTTGGCCTCTTTCTTGGAAATGCAGAATCTCCTTGCATTGTGCATATTTGCACAATAGCTCACCTCCAGCTCCTGTCTTGCTCAGCTAGTCACTTCCTAATTCCTGTGCAAAGACCCGCAGGCATCTTTTGCTTGGGGCCAGTTGTAGACCCCTAGGACTGAAGGTAGATGTTAGGAAAAGTGAAGAATGTGTGTCATTCCTTTCTGATGTATTAAAAACTTGGCAAATTTGGAATTTTCAAGTAAAACATGAGACTTCGAAGAATTTGGATATGGCCTATTTTTCATTTCAAAGATGAGTCAAGGCCCCTGGAGAAGATAGGAATGGGTGGGGAGACTGAAAAAAATATAATTGGGGCTTTAACAAATCCTTGTGAGAAGTACTGACTGCTGAGCCGGGACTAAACCTGGGCACTGTCTGACTCTATGGCACGATTGTTTGTGGGCAACCACAATATCTCCCCTGACTCAGTAGGCCAAAAATCCAAGTCTGTGCCTTCTCTGCATTTCCTTAGGACCCTAAAGGACCATGACTCACACTGGGTTAGGGTGGGATTGAGGGTGCAGCGGCAGCAGAAATGGATCAGGGGTGAGGAGGGTGGTGGCCAGCCTACAATATCATAAATAATAACTATTTGATGAAGAAAGGGAGAGGGAAGAACAGGAAGAAGGAGACAAAGGACAGCTCACTGGTCCCTGTTTAGAAAGTGACAAATTATTAGCCGACTGCAAGTGCAGAGAAAAAAAAAGTACAAAAATGACTTGCTTTGGTTTTAACTCATATAAATACAAGAAAGTAATCCTTATCACAATTAAAAAAAGAAGTCTTTTCTGTTCTCATTTGCCTTACTAATTGAACAAAAACTTCCTTGAAGTTTGCACCTTTAAAAATAACTTTTGGGGCCGGCCCCGTGGCTTAAAGGTTAAGTGCGCGTGTTTTGCTGCTGGCGGCCTGGGTTCAGATCCCGGGCGCGCACCGACGCACCGCTTCTCCGGCCATGCTGAGGCCACGTCCCACATACAGCAACTAGAAGGATGTGCAGCTATGACATACAACTATCTACTGGGGCTTTGGGGGGAAAAAATAACTTTTACTGTTTTGCATGATTGTTTATTGAATTTATCAAAAGCATAGGTAACTTTTTATTATCTACTTGAATAGACTTTCAAATTATAGATATTTTGATTTCTTGTTTCCCTACACTGTAGGAAGATACATTCATTTATTCATAAAAGATGTCCATAGACCTACCAGATACAGATCACTGTCCTAGGCACCACAGGGGACTACAAAGATAAAGAAGATCTGATCTCAAAAAACTCATATAACATACACACAAATATCCATACCAGAGGCATTGTGTGATAAAGTAGTCAACATTTAATAATATTGTTTGTCCATTTTACAAGCCATTCTTCTTTTGGACTCCTTTCTATATTTGGGGCTTCTCAGTATACATAAACATTTAAATTAGTACTTTGGAAAAGCAAGTTTGAGGTTTAGCTTGTGTTGCCACATGTATGATGTGTTTTTTAAAGGACCACCTGGATCAGATGGACTGCCGGGTTTGAAGGGGAAACCTGGGTTCACTGGACCACCAGCAACCGGGACAACGATGAGAGGCTTCATCTTCACCCGGCATAGTCAGACCACAGAGATTCCTTCCTGTCCAGGAGGGACAGAGCCGCTCTATAGTGGGTTTTCTCTTCTTTTTGTACAAGGAAATCAACAAGCCCATGGACAAGACCTGGGTAACGTCCCAGTCCTAGTTCCCAGTCACTTTGTTATTGTAGCATTTCTCGCTGAAGTTAAGTGTAAACAACCTTAAGTATCTTACAGCCGCTTTTTAAAGAGAGTAAATAAAACCACATTGCCCTAATGTCTAATTTTCATTCTGGAATGTAGAGCTCTGGAAGGAGCCTTGCTTGTGAATGCCAATCTAGCTCGTCCTGTTCAAGGCAAACCATTTTCACTTAAATCACCTATCTGCTTTTTATTCTTTAAAGTGACATCTTTGGGACCGGGCCCATGGCGTAGTGGTTAAGTGAGCGCACTCTGCTGCTGGCAGCCCGGGTTCAGATCCCGGGCACGCACCATCACACTGCTCGTCAGGCCATGCTGGGGCAGCGTCCCATATAAAGTGGAGGAAGATCAGCATGGATGTTAGCTCAGAGCCAGTCTTCCTCAGCAAAAAAGAGGAGGATTGGCATGGATGTTAGCTCAGGGCTGATCTTCCTCACAAAAAAAAAAAAAAAAGGATCCTTACAGTATGCAAAAAAATAAAGTGACATCTTTTCTAAAGCATTGTCTGGCTATTAGCTATTATGTACATATGAAGAATTGGGAATACCTTAAAGCAAAGACATTTTTCCAACCAACCTCTACCAGTCCTCGAGTTCTAGACTGGTTAGAAAGGGCCACAGGAAGCAGTAAGGCTGGGAGAAGGAGGATTTGTTTGTCTATTAGATCTCTGATTTCTATAATTTTTAAAACTTTTCCATAACACATTTTGCAAATAACTCTTTTCTGTTGTCTTTCTCCAGTTTTTGCCATAGTTATGTTTTAATTAGCCTCTATCTAGTAATGATACTCAAAATAATTTTAATTTACTGAAAGTGACACCCAGTCTGATGTTTTATTAGGAGCTCTTGGCAGCTGCCTGCAGCGATTTACCACGATGCCATTCTTATTCTGTAACATCAACAATGTATGTAATTTTGCATCGCGAAACGATTATTCATACTGGCTGTCAACACCAGCTTTGATGCCAATGGACATGGCTCCAATTACTGGCAGGGCCCTGGAGCCTTATATTAGCAGGTAAAAATCCAACCTCTCAGTTTTGTGATGGGAACAAGTGAATCCCTCCATTTGTAATGGAGTGTAAGGCAGCACATCACGGTGCAGAAAGTGGCGATGCCACCATATTCTTTGTTTCCTGTTACAGATGCACTGTCTGTGAAGGGCCCGCGATTGCCATAGCCATTCACAGCCAAACCACTGACATTCCCTCGTGTCCCCAAGGCTGGATTTCTCTCTGGAAAGGATTTTCTTTCATCATGGTAAGAAGAAAAGGAACAGCAAATTCATAGTAAAGATTACCCACAGAATCTTACAGTGGGCTGGGTGAAATGTGGCCCCCAGGAATAATGCTACCTGACATCAATATGCACAATATTCCATGGACATTTGCTTGAAAATCTGCAAATATACGTTTTGTTCTTACTTTCAGTACGTTGTTTTTGGTAAATAATGGAGCATTTAAAAATAGATTTCTTGGGGCCGGCCCCATGGTGTAGCAGTTAAGTACGCGTGCTCCGCTGCTGGCGGCCCGGGTTCAGATCCCAGGCGCGCACCCAGGCACTGCTTGTCAGGCCATGCTGTGGTGGCGTCCCATATAAAGTGGAGGAAGATAGGCACAGATGTTAGCCCAGGGCCAGTCTGCCCCAACAAAAAGAGGAGGATTGGCATGGATGTTAGCTCGGGGCTGATCTTCCTCACAAAGAAAAAAAAAAAAATAGACTTCTTAGGAGGAGATTACCCACAAATTCTAAATAAGACTTTTAGGTGAATAGTAGCTACCATATTGGCAATAGAATGCATATTTTTTTTAATGTGGCAGCTGTTTTATATAAATACTCCATAATCCTTATAGAAACTCTGCAAGGTAGTTTTTTTGTGTGTGTGTGAGGAAGATCAGCCCTGAGCTAACATCCATGCTAATCCTCCTCTTTTTGCTGAGGAAGACCAGCTCTGAGCTAACATCTATTGCCAATCCTCCTCCTTTTTTTCCCCAAAGCCCCAGTAGATAGTTGTATGTCATAGTTGCACATCCTTCTAGTTGCTGTATGTGGGACGCGGCCTCAGCATGGCTGGAGAAGCAGTGCATTGGTGCGCGCCTGGGATCCGAACCCGGGCCACTGGTAGCGGAGCGCGGGCACTCAACCGCTAAGCCACGGGGCTGGCCCTGCAAGGTAGTTTTTATCATCTTCAGTTTTACAAATAAGAATGAAGTAATTTCCCCAAGGTCTCACAACTAGTAAGTGGTAAAGCTAGGATTTGAACCTGAATCTGTCTGCTCCAAAATCTTTATGCCTTATACTGTGTCCTTTTGATGTTCACATGAAGATGGGGACTAACAGAAACAGCCTTTTAAAGAAAAATTCCCCAGATTTAAATGCTAAATAAGGAAATCTATGGACTGACCTTCTGTGATTCTGATATCTGCACATATGTGGTTGGTGGTCATTCATATTCTGTATAGCATCATTTATAATATATTATTATGTATCATAATACATGATGTTATGTATTGTGGGGGGAATCTTTCCTTACCCACAGACATCCATTCATTCAATCATTAATTCAACACATATTTATTGAATACCTACTAAGTGCCATGACTGTTCTGGGCACTGTGGACAGCAGCAGTGAACCAAAGTTCCTGCTCTATATCCTTGTAGGCAAGGTAGACAATAAGCAAGAAGACAAAATAACAATAACAGTAATGAGTTTAGATGATGATCGGTCCTATGAGGGAAACAAGGCACGATAAGGGGAGAGACTGTGACACGGATGAGGTCAAGGAAAGCCTTTTGGAGATTATATTTAAGTAGATCCCTGAATGACAAGTAAGAGCCGGTCAGACCTGGGGGAAAGGAGCATTCCAGGCAGAATAAACAGCTTTCACTTTCATTTCGATGACTATACCTCAACTTGTAAGGTATCTGGGATGTTAGCAAATCTGGGTAAAGAAGCATAAGACGTTTAATTCATGCTTTCTGGGGTTTTTTCCTTATTTTCTTCTATTACAAAAAAAAATAGAGCATTGAAAATTTGAACACCACGCACAGAATTCTTATTCAGATATTTCTATTGCGATAGTTCACAAGTGCAGGTTCTGAGGGCGCTGGGCAAGCACTGGCATCCCCCGGATCCTGCCTGGAAGAATTCCGAGCCAGTCCATCTATAGAATGTCATGGAAGAGGAACGTGCAACTACTATTCAAATTCCTACAGTTTCTGGTTGGCTTCATTAAACCCAACAAGAATGTTCAGGTAACTATTCAAAGTCAAGTTTAATCTGACAACTCAACCACAGGACTATTCAAAGGTTGCCGATGTTAGATTTTCATTACCTGTGTGTTGATGTACTCACATTTAAAAAATCTCCCCGTGCCAATAAAATCCTGTTTAGCTTGGCACTTCCAGTTTACGAGTGTTCTAGAGTCAACAAGGAGCCATAGTTTTGTACTACTGTACCAATAAAGACAAATAAATGTGATTTTTGTCATTACCAAATATATTTAATATTTATATATGAATTTATAGTAAATTACTGAATAAAACTGCTAAATGATCTGCTGATCTTAATTTACTGTATTGAAAGACTTGTGAGTAATACAGACTATTTAAAGGGTAGGGGTAGTTTTTATTACAAAAAAAGATGATCTGTAAGTTTGCATCAAGGCCTGTTTCCTAAGAGCTGCTAAAATACAACTAAAATTATAAAATGTCGACATATATATACCTCTTCAGAAATATACCTCCTGTGATAAAGTTTAGATGAGCTACAATATTCATTAATAAAACTCAAACCCAGCAAGTACTCCCTTTTGATCTATAAATTAATGAGATTTTTTGCTTGTGTTTTTTTGTTTTTTATTTCAGAAAACCTATTCCATCAACTGTGAAAGCTGGGGAGTTAGAAAAGATAATAAGTCGCTGTCAGGTGTGCATGAAGAGAGGACATTGAAGAAATAAAAAGAAATAGAACGGTTATTTTTCATCCTAAATAACCAAGTAATGATGCAGAACATGCATTTATTTAGGTATTTCTCTCCAACCAAACAATATCACTGTATGATGGCTTAGTACAAAGTTTCTATTTGTTTCGCCACAACAAAGCATTTCTTTTAAGTTGGTTCTGTGATCCTGGTCTCTAAATCTGTGCTGTTTCAAAGTTCCCTATGGCAAGGCAGCAGACTTTTCACAAAATATCACTGAAATTGTATTCCACTTGTATCCAACGCACTATCCAAACGGTGACTGTATAAAGTCTGATGCTACAAGTGAAGAGCTATTTGGTCCACTGGATTCCCAAGATTTTCCCCCTTCTATTCCAGTCTTTGAGACTCAGGGAGACTAAATCCGTTTTAGATTGCCCCACCACTTGCTTCCTGAACCTTTAGACTCTGGGTAGGAAAGGAGATAGAGGCATGTGGAGTCCTAGAGCTTCATGAACAGAATTGGACTTTCACACCTGTTGAGGAATCAAAGGCCTGAGGGAACCAGAACTGAACTGAGCTTCTTAGATTTTCTAGGGCTCCTTTAAACACACCCAAAACTAAGGCCAAAAGGGGGGTTCCCCAAATGGAATCATAATGGCCTTGGAAATACTGTGTGATCTTGTCTTGTATTTTTTTTAAGAGTTTGTTTGTCCATTGAATCCATTTCACTGCAGCAATATAGCCTGCTAGTATTCAAAGTAGATACAATTTTTACCCTTAGTGAATTAATTTTAACAGGATATTTTTACACACATGCTCTGAAATGTGTCTAATTTTAATTTCTCTTTTACCAGCACACCCACACAAATAACAGGACATGACTTGGTACATGTGCACTTTATCCCCATCCCTATCAACGTTGGTGCATACCTTATATATTTGAGTAGTTCAGTAATCCATGAAAGAATTTAAGGCTTTTGTTGGCTAATCAGGCTCAGAATATTTTTCCTTTGCTCTCAATCTTCCATTTAACCTGGGTAATTAGAGATTTATTTCCTTGTTACTTCTCTAATTCTTCCTTTGTAAAAGCACGGTTTTTATATTACTTATTCTTACAAACCATATTGAAAGAGTCCACTACGTAAAAATCTTAATGTACAAATCATAGCGCTTGGCAGCCGTACATCTTAAAACTTGCTTTTCAGTGTGTTGATACATTCCCAAGGTTAGTTAATTCAACTTAATAAGCATTTCATTCAGTGCCAAGCCATGCCCCAGGCACTGTGCTAAATTATAGAAATATTAAGAGAAAAAAATAAAAAAAGAGACTTGTCTCTCACCTAATATCCCAGAAATTGTCACTTATCGTTTCTGTTAGGAATTCCCCATATCTGAGTTGTCTTTCCTCCTTGTCTTCCTTTGTCACTGTCCTTATAGTTCACCATCGTAAATCAGCAGGCCTCAATAAAATTTAAAAGTAAGGTCTATGCCCAGGGAGAGCCCAGGATTTCTAGCTTCTCCTAGGCATCACAGATGCCAAGGTCAGGACAATGTTAAGAAAATAAAGATCTGCCAAACATTAAAAACCATTTATACCTGATGGTAGCACTATTTGATGAGTCTCAGAAGCCAGGCATCTGAGACAAAGCTCTGAATATGCTTCCTGATCCACCGAGGTGGAGTTGGTGGTGCTGATATTTACATTCAGGTTATTGCTTCAATCTCAGTTGCTTTGTAAGTGAAGATGTGACCCCAGGGGACAGCTACAGACTGTGACCGTGGTCTGCATCCTTCACTGCTCACGCGACTGCTGTCAAGCCACTTTTACATCTAAACTAAGAAGTGCATTTTACTTAGATTATTTACTTAGACTCACCTACTATTAAGACTTTTTTGCTCTAAAAATATCTTACTGTCCCAATTGTACTATAATGGCATATAGGGCTAGCGGATCTCTACAAACTCTCTGTAGACCAGTAGTTCTCAAAGTGTGGTCCCTGGACCAGCAGCATCAGCAGCATCTGGGAACTGGTCACAACTACAGATTCTAGGGCCAACCCCAGACCTACAGAATCAGAAACTCTGGGGGTAAGGCCCAGAAATCTGGGCTTAACAAGCCCTCCAAGTGATTTCCGATGTACTCTAAGGACTGAAAAAAACTGCTCTAGGCAAACACCGAAGAAACAATTCTACAGGTGGTTAGTTACCAGGTGTAACTGGCTACAATTGCTCATTCCCTGCCTCTCTTTAAAGTCCAGAGTCACAAATGACCTAATTAGATTAGATCATCTAATCTGACTAATAAGTAAAAGCGCTAGATTGGTGCTAATGTCAAATGACTGGCCTTCGCTTGTCCCCAAGCCTCCATCTTCTCTTGCCCTCTATCAGTGTTAAACTTCCGAGGAAGACAAGTAATGCCGAAACCTTCAATTCCAATGAAGCCATATTAACAGTGGCTCAGACTGAGCATTAAAACATAGCTCATGTGCATTACTTTCCAGAGACCTATGAGTAACTTACAAGGTTATGAGGATTTGACTTTGTAGATAAAATGTAAATAACTTGTTTCTTTTACATTTGGGGCTTCAACTTTGGAATTTCACAGTGTGCTAAGATAATGGATTTCTCAGAGGTGTCTCTTTTTGCAAGATAAACATTATTAAGTAACTTATTTATAAAAGTATTACAATGATGCTAAATTTGAATTTTATTGCTAATTTAACTTACAAAGATTTTTCTATGCATCAAATGTAACTTACTGCTACTAAACTTAATTTAATATTTACTCTATAACAAAATGAAATATATTTAAAATATATTGAATATTTTATATTATTATATTCTGACAAAATTACAATATTGTAATGTACTAATGTTTCTGTAATTACAGCTAAAATCATATTTTATTGTATTGTCTAAGAATAAAATTGAAACACTTATATCTGGTCTTATTTTTTCAAAATGGAAATAAATGTATTTTTTTGGATTGTAAAAATAATATATGTTCACTGTAAAAACAACAGACAATACAGAAGTCACGAAGAATATAAAAATTGCCATGATTTATCCTCTCATCCTCACACAAGATAATTAATGTATATACCATCCAAAACTTTTTCCCATAAATATATTTTCAAACAAAAATGGGATAAAAACATGCTGTTTTGAAACCAGATTTTTTTTTTAAACTTAATACACTGTGGGCCTATTTTCACATCAATAGATAAGCACCAATCATTATTTTCACAGATTTACTACATAAGTCAATGAATCCCCAATTGATGGACACATAATTTAGTTTTATTATGGACATACTATACATATTTCATTTCACATTTGACCAATTATTTCCTCGGGATAAATCTCTAGAAGGAAACTTATAAAATCATAGGACTCACACAATCTTAGGCCTTTGATATATACAAAAATGCTCTCCAGGAAGGTTGTTAGAATTTCCAGCTGCATCAACAGTGTAATGAAAACATTCCTCTCCTTATGCTTTTACCAATATTGGATATTGCTGTTCTTTTACAATTTTGCCTATCTCATTTTAATCTAAATTTTGCTCATCACCAGTAAGGCTGAACATTTACCACTTTTATTTAGTATTTGTTTTTTTTTAATTACTATTTTTTATTAGCACTTGTTTTTGTTTTCCTGTGAAGGGCCTAATCATAATTTTGGTCATTTTCTAGTGAGGTATTTAAGAAGATTTTACAAATCAGTAAGAAAACATATAGATTACAGAAATTATGGGTCATAAATTTTGATAAATGTTTCCCATTTATAATACAAACACTCCTCATTCAAGAAAAACTATTCATAAAATTTCAAATGTAGAGAATTGGTAAAGAAGAATGCTTTTAATATACAAAATCTCTTCAGAAATTTCAGGCTGTGTTAAATGGCAATAAACATATAATCAAAGGAAGAAACAGAATGAACAGTGATCTTGGGTAATAGTCCTAAGAAGACCAAGAAAACTATTGCTCAAATAAATATTTTAGAAACATTATCATAATTGGGCCAAAAAATTTAATTTGAAAACATTTTGAGTCAAAAACTGTACGAATCCATTTTAATAAACTTATTTTTACTGCTGGCAAGTAGAAGAATGAATGCTGTCTTTGAGCTCATTCTCTCTGGCTACTTATAAGCCTGTATGGAAAGGAAACTCTTGACCAGTGTTAATGCATTCCTAGTACCCAACTGACAGAGCACTTGCCCAGCTCTAAGAGTGCTTAATTCACCACACCCTAAGCCCAGCTCTGCCTATTAGAAACTAAGAGACAACCAGACACAGGGGGAAAAGTAACTGATTTTGAACAGCCAGGCTAAATTTAAACATCGGATAAATACGATCCTCTCTACGTTTTTGTAGACTCCACAGTTTTTCTAAAAATGCTGACATTGCTCAAAATCTTTGTAGAACTATTGCTTTGGAATTCTCTTCAATTCCTTTTTACCAGCCAGTCAAGGATATAGGTCGCAGCACTTTGTACCCAAGACCTACAACGTGCTGAATAAGTTTGGCTCCACAGTAGACATCCAGATGAGTGAGTTATAGACCTTGGTCCCAAACACAGAATTTATAATCCAGTACAAGAAAATAAGACAAATATATAGATATTTATAATATTGGACAGAATGTGATAAGTGCTGTAAAAGATGACAAATAGTGGTTCAAAAGTCGGAGGCCTCCAGGAAATAATTCATAAAAGATGGGACATTTTAGGTGGTCCTTTAAAGGCAGTTAGGATTTCAAGAAGCAGAAGGTGGTCAGAGGCAGGATGGCATTCCAGGTGGCAGAAATAGCATGGATAAAGTAAGTAGTTAGGAAAGCATGAAGCAATCTCAGAAGAATCTTAGAGCTCTCGGGGAGCAATCTCAGAGAACAGCATGGATAAAGTAAGTAGTTAGGAAAGCATGAAGCAATCTCAGAAGAATATATAGAATACATACATATATATCAAATATACATACACATCCACACATACACACACAGAGTGGTAAATAAAGCAGGATAGTAGCAGGTTAGGGCCATATTAAGTAGGGTTTAGAATACCAGGTTGAACTTGTACTTCATTGGTTGATACTAGAGATCCAGTGAAGATTTTGAGCCAAAGAGTAGAATGATCATATAAATGGTATTTAATATACTGCCCTTTCAGGCTATTTCATAGTTTTAAGTGTTTTTAGAAACTACTGAATTGCTGTTACAGACTTTTGAATTTGTGCAGAACTATAAATCATTAATTTCTTTTTGAACTTGAGGCTTCAAATTTGGGATGTTACAAATTGTAAAAATAGGTTCTTTGTGGATCCAATGTCTAGGAAGAATTAGAGAAAGAAAAAGATTGGTGATGGGGAGGCCAGTTAAAACAGTAATAGCCCAAACGATGGGTAATGGTCTAGCAGCGGGAATAGAAAGGACAGAGAAAGTAGACAGATAGCATTGAGGTGGGAGAATCTAAAGGATGGGGACTTGGGAACAGTGAACGATGACTTCAGAATTTTGAACCTTGGTGACTGGGAAAATAATCTTGCCATTAACTAAAAAGGAAACTTAGGAGAAGTCATCTGGATTGGGAAGAGGGAGAAAATTTGAGTTTGAAACCCCGCTGGGATCAAAGCTCCAATGGGACACTTAGGAAGAACTGGCTAGAACTAGTGCAACAGGATGAGACTAAATGGATGTGTTAATTTATTTAGATTTATATACCATCTTTTCTCACAAAAGATTTGAGGCAACTGTGGGTGCAAAGATAATCAATGATGGATTGAATCATAAACAGGAGTGTACACATCAACGATGGAAGTGAAGGAAGACCCAGCATGAAGCTTTACCACAGAAAACAAGAGAGCAGAGTTTCCAGGTAGGGGAGAGAAATGCCTTCTTTTTCTTGGAGAATTTACTGCAAGACAGTGTTAGGCGCTTTCATGTACTACATTCTTTCTCATTTAATTTAACAGAATCAAATGATGCAGGAAGATTAAGGGTGATCACGATTAAGGGAGAAGACTTTGGATTTGGCAACTGGATCACAATTTCATTTGAAAGTTATTTCAAAACGTTTTTACGGGGGGGAGGAGCGGGGGGCAAGAATAAAAACCAAATTGCAAGTAATTAACAAGTGGAAGGGTACTAGTGGAAGCAGCAGCACCCTCACTCCTAACGGGTTTTGGTCATAGTTGGCTTACTCATCTTGGTCTCTATCTTCCCCCAAGAAGTTGGCTTGGAATGACTGATCATTCCTAAAATCAGTGTATTCTTAATAAGGATGATTTGCCACTATTAAGAACG